CGGGTTGGCGGGTTGAAATAGTTGACCTGGCCCGCCAATTTTTGGCGGGCCAACTAGCCGGCCCGCGGACCATGGCCCACTTTGCCATCCCTAACGATAGATACTATTCTTATTTATTATCATAACAATATTTTTAGATTAAAAACATTAAATGAAGTTAATTTAACTGCAACTTATTTATATTTTAGTCCAATTTTTTTTAATATTTTTTACTTATATACAAGAGATGGAGTATTCAACACCCACTATTAAAACTTTAAAATATTAGTATGTATTGTTATTAGATTGATATAAGTATGTCTCTATAAAAAAATATAAGTATATGTGATTCAGTTAAATATTAACAATAAGAACAAAACCAAACCACTACAAAGAATGCGCTTTTTTTTTTTTTTTGGTTTAGTGTGATATTAAAACAATTTAGTTTGATTTTAAACACGGCTAATCATTAGTCAACACATATAAGCTCTGAAATCCTCTCAGAAGCCTTTGCTCACGGATACATATATTTATTTTTATTATTATTATTATTATTATTATTATTTATTATTATTATTATTATTATTATTATTATTATAAGCAAAAATGTTGGGTTTGATTTGATGGTACACTATAAAATATTTGCCTGACCTGTTGTGATTCTATAGAACATGGGACTGTGTTTGTGTCCAACGTAAATACATAGTGACCCGTGTTGTTTGAGAATGCAGAATTAGAGAAATTTGATCGGCACTCTTGTGCAGAATACCAGAGAATGAAAACTTATGTGGCTGCTCCAAGTGATGGCTACCCTTCTGCAGAACACAGGATAATGCAAACTTCTGCTGCTGCTGCTGCAAATGTTTCAACTAGCTCTTCGCAAAAGAATGAAGCAATACCATCATATGCTGTGAAGCGCAGATTCAAGGATAACGAGTTACAGAAGATCAGTCGCATCTATGCGGATTGGATATGAGATGCGCCCTGTTCAACAAACTAGCTGAACTAGTGGATAACAACACTAAAAACTAAAAACTAAAAACAGCTTTTTTTTATAGAAGGGTAAAAATTCAAGAATCAAGAGTTTTGCTTCACTACCAGTTTGACCGGGTTTGTTTTGAGGAATATGGTTCCGTTTTACTTTCAGTATTTCATGCAGACATTAGAAAGATATACATAGATCTCTTTGTACATTCATGGCAATGGCCCTCTGTTATACCCCTTTACGATTACAAAAAAACTTCAAAGAAATTAAAATCATAACCAGTTCATATTCGGATATTTCCTTGTACTGTTGGAGCAGATGTTCATGAAGTGTTGTATCATAAATTTCTGCCAGAGAACGGTTCAAAATAGATGAAAAAATATATATATTCCTAAGAAAGGGGAGCAACGTATAAAACGAGATCTCCGAGGATATGAAAGAAATGTATATCTGACCTTATTATTTTTTTTTCTGGGGGTACATAACTTATTATATCTATGATTCCTGCATATTATACTTTTTAATTTTCAATAGTAATAAGATATCAACCTTAAGGTTCTTATGTTCTTGAAACATGAATAATATTTATTCATACAACAAATGTATTTTTATACATTCGCTTTTTTTTTTTTCCTGTCTATCACATTACTTATTTCACTACGCACTTGTATATATATATATATAATATTGAAATATTGACACCAAACAGTTTAGAAGGGACATTAAGCGCAAAGCATTTGCATCATCCCGTGAGCTTTAATTCTTGAAGTTTGCTTATTGAGCCTCGACTGCACAAGTGCACATGGCAAACGACGGAATAAAGACCGATCTTTGAAACTAAATTAAGAATGACCAAACAACATTAACATCATCCTTCCAAGTCGAGCCATAATATCATCAGTGATGATCTATTGCTTTGCCACCCCGTTAAGTGTGATCTTACCACCACGTAAAGGTGATTCTATTTGAATCCAAAATCATTTTTACACATTCACAAAGCCAAATGGCCTCTATAGGTTTTCACGACTAAGCTTTTATACACGTCTCTGTTGTGTTTTATCTTATGTGTGTCACCAAATTAGTGATATTTTAAAAAATTCTTTAAGCTCAAATAACACTGATTTATGCATGAACACAGAAGGAAAACATGCTCTGATACTCAGATATTTATCTTTGGTATGATTACAATATTATTGAATACAAGAATTTGCATTAATGAAATGAACGATATGAATGAAATCAGAAGAATGTTGATACATAATGAAATGCAACAGTTGTTTTCTTTTGAAGCTCATGTATTATTCCCAGAGGATTTTACCCATTTGATAGTTGACCGGGCCAAGGCGTCCATTGGATCAATACATTTCTTGAGAAGAGGGTCGTCTGGGGGCAAGAGGTCCCGCATATCGTCAGAAGCAAGGATAACAGAATTTGCTGCTCTCACCAAAAGAACTTGAAGTGCAATTCTCAATAGATTGCATGCCCCTTCCATGTCCTTTCGGTTCAAAGCTTCAATTGCAGGTATCACTGTGTGCTCCATTGTTGCTCTATCAGGCAGTACAATCTCAAATCCCTGAATACAAGTAAATGAAATCAACAGCTTTCCAAATCTCTATTGCTTGCCAGCACAATTCAACACGGCCATTCAACCATTGCATAAAAGGTGAAAAACAACTAGTGCATTACTATTTACAAGTACATTCTTGAAAGTCAAATCCTTGTTCATAAGCAAGAAAATGATAAAAAAAAATTGCTATTCGGGTTTTTAGCAGCAGTGGTAAGTGGTAATGCATGGCAGTGCACAGATGTAATAGTGGTTGAATAAAGATGTAACCAGGTAGAATTCTTCCAATGTTCTTATTCTCAAACATGAAGGTTTAATAATTAGTGCTCTGAATACAGAGAGATTATTCTTCATAAGGGAAAGATACACCGATGAAACTAAACCAAAAAACAAGAAACAAACAGATTAATTAATGTGTGTATTAAGGTCATGTAAAACATTTATGAAGTGTATGTTGTATACGGAGTTACAAACGAAAGATTAAGATCCTGTACTACATTACAAAGGAAAGATTAAGGGACGATACTTCCCTCCTTCTGAGGTTGTTTTTGTGCTCTAACTGCCCCAAGAAGCAAACCTAAACTATGATTCATTTGACCCTGTTAACAACTAAACATTTAATTGCATGTTGATCTTAGTTTGATCATCGAGAAATTCTTTTTTGACAGGAAATAAGTAAAGGTTTTACTGAAGAAATTGGATCTTCAGTAATCACGAGAAAGAAAACACGGTTCCAGCGTTTTCATTTTGCACATGAGAAATGTTGTTGGCACTTGTTGAACAAAGTTAAGAAACAAATAAACAATGCAAACAAATTATATTCTCATTGCAAAAATGTAGTCTTATTGAAAATAATAAAATCGACAAGTCATGAATTGCTAAAACATTAAATTAAGCATCTCAAATTTGACAAAGTTTGAAATGTTCATTAATCAAACATTAAATTAATGTTCCAATCATAAATGGTAATTGATAGGTTCCTATAATCTTTCCAATCTTAAATGGACATAGATCTGACTTGGGCCTTCACATATTATATTATTGTTATGAAATTTTACATGTTTAAACCTGTAGAAACTCTATCAAAAATGCTGCAGTTATTCAATACTTATAAGAAGCCAAGAAGAAAGCAACAAATTTTGAAAGGATTTTGTGAAGGTCAACATCATATAGTGTTCTGATTTCTTAAAGTTATAATGTGAAAAAGCAAGACTGTAATGGGCATTCCTCACAGAAACTACATTGACCAAGGAGCTATATATAGGGAGAAATTACTTTGTTCTGAAGTTTAATAGAGCATATACTGTATTTAAGCCTAGGATGTAGTAATAACATATGGTGTTGTTGTTTATGAGAGCAATTTATTGAAAACAACATAGAGAAATTACTTCATTCTGAAGCTTGTCCTTATAAAAACCAGCACCAATAGTTGCATTTGTTGCAAGCACTCCAATCCGCAGAGGACTACCGGCTTCAAGTGGCTTTAACTTGGCTTCCTTGAGCTCCTTTGCAACGCACTCGGCCATGTGAAGGAAAGGAACAGAACATCCCTCAGACACTTGTTCATACCAAGAATGTGACACATTACAAGGCATCACTATGCAACTAGCCCCAGAATTCTCAAGAAAAACCCTCTTATTTCTAAGGCTTTGCACAATCAGAGAAGAATCCAGCTTTAATGATTCTGCTTTACTTGTGCTAGAAACAAAATAACTCCTTTCATAGGACAGAAGCTGCTTACTCAACACAGGATCAGAACACAGCACAAAAGGGCTGGAATCTCCTCCATCTTCTGAACTCAACTCCACAAGTTTTCTCAAAAATTTGAGAGTGGCATCCACAGATACCCCTCCAATTATACCCACAGCACTTCCCTGAGTGACAAAAGGAACAACCTTTCCTGAAACAAGGTTTGAGGCATGAAGCTTCTCAGAAAATTTGCCACTTTCATCTGCATTCAAAATAACTGAAGATGGGGGTGTGGCTTGAACTTGGCACCACCTTGTTTTGCACAAGTATCTACGACTAGAAGTAGTTACATTTACACAACCTAAGAGTAATGTTTGGAAAGGGTAACTCAAAGACATCACATCCAACATCTCCAATGCCACAGAAATTTGAGAATTGGAGTTCCCTCAACTCAAAATGGGTTTCTTATTTCTTGTTTATGCAATTTACAACCCCATTCGAGCTCCAGAGTAAGACAGTGGATGAACAAGAATCATCCTATAGAAAAGCCCTTGTGCAGACATGTGGCTTCACAGTTTCACACCAAACTCTCTCACTTCTAACCTCACAGTAAAACACACCATGCTTCTCTTTCTCAAATAATGCACTGTTAGACCATCTACAACAGTTCAACTACCCTACACTAATTAAACTAATTTTATTCAACCAACAATATCACTTGAAATTTAACAATTGTAATAAAAAAAATATTATACCACATGTATCCTCCAACAGAACTAATTACCGGTAAAATTATTATACACGACAAAACTTTATCTTCAAATATTTAACATAATTATATGTTTAAGACTCAAACTCTAACATCATAGATTATATCGAAAGAATCCTTATCAATTAGTTTCTATACTTGTCGGTAATAAATTTCATTTTTAATAATATATATTTAAAAATTCAAAATAAATCTTATAACTAAAAATTCTTTGAATTCATGAATAAGCATTATTTATATAAACAAATTATATGAAAACATTAAGAGACCATAAATACCTCACTATTAACACATGACTAAAGTAAGTCATACTCACATTGATGAATAACCAAAACAATAAATAAATTTTTGAGTGAGGTTACTAAATTTTAGTATAGAATATTAAATTAATGTAACCTTGTAGATGTTTATAATAAGTTAATCATATAACATATTTAGTTGTTTTTGTTGATTATCTCTGTAGCTTGAAGGTAGAATCAGCAGTGAATGAAAACTTCAAATTATAACATGGTTAATGAATGTGGACAGAGTTTAAAGAAGGAAAAGTTTGTAATCTTTATGAAGCAAAAAATAAAAGTTAAGGGTGAGGAAGGATTTCATCATATACCAAAAATTCCTTTTTGTGTGATTTGATGAAATGGCAATACCAATTATTAACAAATGGACCAAAAGAGAGAACAAGTGGGAAGCATCGAAGAATGTTCTCGCCATGTGCAGCATAGGTGTCACGTTTCACATTGGTTGTATCGTTCTCCTTTGGGCCCCACCATTTCTCAAATAATCAAACAATTTAAATTACAAACTTTCTTTCTTTACATTACATTTCAGATAATACTTTAACTATCATATGTTTTGGTTTTTTTCCAGGGAAAAAGTCACTACATCTGGGTTGCCATGTCTTGGGCCCCGGCCCATCAAGTGTCTCTAATATTGTGGCCCATATTTATACTTGAATATTTATAATAACCATTCAAAATTAATTGCCAGTGATATTAAGAAACATGAAAAGGCAAAACAGTTGCCTTTAAGAAATTTGTTCATATTAAAATAGATTAAACTACAGTGCATATAAATCCCTTAAATTTAATTTAACCAATCCTTGAGTAACTAAACCTTTTTATGTCAGTGGATTATGCTAATCAAATAATTTTAGTATTAGGCAAAAAAAAAGTTTTAATATAAATAAATTTTGGGTTTTTTTTTTCCTTTTCATTTTAATTATATCTAGTATTTTAGCATATGCAATGTATAAGATACATGGTTATTTCATATAGCTCTAGTTTATAATAAATAGATAGTTTTTGAATATCTAGAATATTATAATTAAAATTTATAATAAATAAATATTTTTGAACATGTGAATTATATCTTTGATTTATAATAAACAATTTATATTATTCTATAAGATTATTTTTAATTATTGATATTTTTACACCATTTATTGATATTTTTAATATA